CCTCACAGAAGAACTGCCAAAGATGCAATTTCACAAGCAATTTAGCCAATCTAAAAGCACCTACCAGAAGAAAAGCAGCCCTACCCTTCTGCCACTGTCTGAGCATTTCCACCTACTGTTCTGCTGATCTTAGGTACCTGTCCAGCCATGTAGATCTACTTGCTTATCTGGCTGAAAATAATCGTATTAAAATGTTTTTCAACATCGAGAAGCAACTGAGACTATAATCAGTATTCATCATCTCTTAGACCTGCTGGTCCACTTTCAGGAAAGACGACTGTGTTTCTGTTCAACATCTGTAAAGAGCAATGTAGTCTCATTATACAGCATGAAGACAAGCTCTTTCAAGAATATGACTCTGTTCTTTGTAGGGCAGATGTTTGCCACATATTAAGAAACCCTGCCTTCTGTTTTTCTTACAGGATGGGCACTGTTCAGCCAGAAATACTAATAAAACATACCAGTAAAAAAAAAGGATGAGCTCAAACCAAAACAGGAAATGCCCTGGAAAATTTGCCATTTTCAAAGAGCCATTATTTTCATGTGTTTTAAAGGTAAATCACTGCTTAAGAAATTTGTTTTCTAAATAGGCATTCCTTGCTCTTTTATCATGTTGCAGGATCATCATGTCACCCAATACTGGACATCTAACTTTGATACTTAAACAAAGAGCCTAGTGAAGAAAGCAAGGTTCCTCCAGAGGGTTATATCGTTCAGCTGTACCAATGCTGTGTAACTGCACTTCCAGAACAAGAATTTAACCTAGGCACAAAACAATTCTGAGCACTTCTCTCTGCAGAAAGCCGATGTTAAAACACTGAAGGTCAGTGGTGAACTGTCCCACTCTACCTGCATCTTCAGATGAGTTCATGGAGAAGACCAGCGTGCCCAAAGCCATAATGACATTCTGAGGACTGGTACATAAAGTCAGAGAACAGCAGTAGTTTCTGAGGCCAAGACAGATGACATTGCCAAGAATAAAAGAAGTTACGTCTTGGATCTCAGAGCCAGAAAGATGAGTTAGGCTACACTGAAATACTACCCAGCTCCTCTTCTCCCCGTTTAGCTTGAAAGCAGGTGCGTCTAATGCAATTGGACCCATTCATAGTTCACTAGTAACCACACTACAGTGAAATGAACTGGCTTGTAATCTATGCAACATATCCTGCTGCTCGGATTTAGCCCTCTTTTCATCCATATCACATGAGCAGTAAGCTTCTTGCTCCTGAACCTTGTATTTTTGAGATACAGAAGTGTCCAGTCTTGTGGCTTCTACACAGAACTAAAAAAAAGAGGAAGCTTTAGCTATATTTGGACCAGTTTCACTGCTTCAGAATTGCAGTACTATACATATATATTGATTTCACGTTCCATTTTATCTTAAGTTTCTAGTAACATGACAAGGGAACAGCTGACAATGTAGTCATCAACAGAATGTCTTCTTTTGGTAAAATAATTTTCTGGGGCTGTTCTGAGGGGTCCAGCACAGGGCATTTGCAACCGTTACACAGTTATTTATAGGCAGTATTTTACGTAACACTACAAAAGAAAAAAAGCATTCTCAAAAAAAGTAATCCCAAAGATTAAAGCCTGACTTTCTAAGACAAAGAAAAAATTTCCCCAAGAAGTGTGGAACTGAAATAAAACTTCTTAAACCTCAATTGAATTAAAATTCAAACATATGTTTCATTTTAGAAAAGTCAGTCCTGAGATTTTACTCATTATGGTTGCTCTTTTGGGTCTTTATACAGCTCTATAGATGACTTAAAAAGAATCAGTAACACATGGAAAGAAACAAAGTTTTAGTAATAAGTTTTGGAATTCACTCCCAGTCCTTAACCTGGAGGTTACAATATAAGACACAGTCTGTACAGGAAATAATGAACACTATGTACGGTAAAAAAATGGTAACAGGCCTACTCCTACACTCTGAGTTAAAATTATATGCAAATATTAGCAGAACTTGGGC